TCTGACAGAGAAAATCTGGCTTGGAGATTACCTGGACATCTCCCAACCATCTCCCCCGAATTCCTAGTTTAAAGCTCTCTTGATCTGTTGTGCCATCCTCCATCCTAGAAGTTTATTTCCCTCCTTACTCAGGTGAAGGCCATCCCGAGAGAACAGTCCTCTGTTCATGAATGCTTCCCAGTGACCATACATCCCAAAGCCCTCCTTATAGCACCACTGCCTGAGCCATCTGTTGAGCATCATAATCTTGTCACACCTTTGTTGCCCTTCTCTAGGAACAGGCAGAATCCCATGGAAGATCACCTGAGCCTAGATTTCCTTAAGCGACTTCCCCAGTCTGGCATAGTCTCGGTTGATACGTTCCGGCGAGAATCTAGCCATATCATTTGTTCCCACATGAAGAAAAATCAGTGGATTCTTTCCCGCTCCCGTTAGGATCCCCTTCAGCCTCAGGTCCACACCCTGTATCTTAGTACCCGGCAGGCAGCACACCCTTCTGTTCTCTGGATCAGCTCTTGTTACAGTCCTGTCTATTCTTCTCAGTAATGAGTCCCCAATCACGTAGATCTGCCTTTTCCTGGCGATGGTGCGATTCTCCAGTCTATCCCCTGTTCCATCTGGTTGCAAGTCCTCTCGATTCCTATTGTCCCTTACAATCCTCTTCAGCCCATCCCGTATCCTCCTGGGGCTCATATTTCGTGTTATCTCCATTGACTCTTGCCCTCTTCCTATAGGACTATCTGCTCTTCTCTTCTTCCTTGCCCTCTCACCTTCAATGACCACCTGCTGTGCCCCTTCTTCATTTTCCAACTCTGGAAACCTGTTCCTGAGCACTATTTTTCCTTCACTGCCCCATCTTTTCCTCTGCGTGGTTCTCTTAGTCACATGCTTCCACTGTCTACTTTCCTCACCCAGCAGTATCCCCTCAGAGTTCTTTGGTCCTGCTTCAATCCGCAAGTCTGAGCTTTTCCCTTCAGCCGCCTCATGTCTTTGCTCCATCATCTGCTCAAGCCCCCTTCTAAACTCAACCAGAGTCTCCACCTGCATCTCTTATCCTGAGATCTTCTTTTCCATCAGCTCTATCAGGTGGCACTTCATGCAGACAAAACTCTTTTCAGGTCCCCCCTCCAGGATCATGTACATGCCGCAGCTTCTACATCCAGTCATCTTCATTGTGTCTTCCACTGCTTGGGTCACTATCACTGCTGCCTCTGGTCTGTCATAGCCTTCCCACCTAAGTCCTGTTAGTCTGGGAAACACAAACCAAACCAAAACACCACCACGCAGAGCAACACAAACCCCCAGCGAGCACCAAAACACTGCCAGACCACCACACACTCCCTTCACTAGCCTGTCTGTTCCTCTGCCCCCTCAAACGCCCCCTCAAACTCCCCTGTTTACAGCTGTGTTTGCTGGCTCCTGTGCCCCTGCAGCTGTCTGCAGTATAACAGGAAGTACAATGGTGTGTAACATCCAAGCCCTCCCAAACTGGGGTGAAATATTGGTCACGTTGAAGTAAATGACAAAGCTACTGATTTCTTTGGAGCCAGGATTTCACCCCTGCTCTCTAACATTGTCTGCCAGTCAGAAAGATCTTGCTCATCGAACCTATTTAAGTGCCTAACTCCCATGGGAGTAGGTGCCTAAATGCCTTTGAAGATATGGGACAAAGTGCTTTAAATGTGAGAATAGAAGCATGTGTATTAGAACATCCAAACAGTATTTTGGGTGAAAAATGTAGATGATGAACATTGAAAAGCAGTTTTAATCGTGATTTGTATGTTTGTTGTTTAAACTTTTTGTTGCGATAATACCTAGCTCTCAAATAATGCTTTTCATCAGTAGCTCTCAAGCACATTACAAAGGGGTTCAGAATCATTATCCCCATCTTACAGAAAGGGAAACTGAGGCACAGAGTGGCACTGTGGCCTGCCCAAGGTCACCCAGCAGGCCAGTTGTAGAGCTGGAAATAGAACCCAGGTCTCTTGAATCCCAGTCCAGTGCTCTATTCACTAGGCCACACTGCTATATAGTGCAGCTGTTGGTTCAAATAACTAAAGGAACACCACCAACTTAAAATTCATAGTTCTGCCTGAAACTCCCCCCGCCCCCATTAGTAAAAATAACACCTAAAATAACAGCTGAATGAAATTAGAAGAATGTTTTTCTCTATTTTTTCAGTTTGTTTACTTTGTGCATCTGACAGCATGTTCTGAATAGGTAGTTCAGCTGATTCCTGCCTCTGTTATTAATTAGGCCTCAATCCCTACAAATACCTTAATATGCACTTAACTTTAAATATGTGAGCATTCCCATCAAAATAAAAGGGGCTACTTACCATGGGGCAGATCATCAGATTGTCATAGCTCATAATTGTCGTGGCTCCATTGACTTCAATGGAGCTCTGACAGTTACAGCTGCTGAGGATCTGCCCCTATCTGGTAGTAGGACCTTACTGACTTTCCGTTGTTTGTCTGGGTCTTTCACAGAGCAAAAGGTGAGAGGAAATTGTTATCAGAAATGTGATTGTACAACCACAAAAATTGTCAGAGTGACTCATGGATAGATTTACAAATTTATTTGAGCATAAGCTTTTGTGAGCTACAGCTGATGCATTCAGTGGCTTACGCTCAAATAAATTTGTCAGTCTCTAAGGTGCCACAAGTATTCCTTTTCTTTTTGTGAATACAGACTAACACGGCTGCTACTCTGAAACCTGTCATGGATAGATGTAATACCTGAAGCTACCTTTAATTTGTTTTTTTTTAAACTGACCAGATTTCAAGTTCATAGTGTTGCTTAAAGTATATTTAAAGAGTCAAGGGGTTCCTGATCAGGAATCCTAGCAGCTGAAATTTAAAGTTCAAGGCCCTGACTGCAGTCGCCCATGTGTAGAACAACGGAAGTCCAGTGGGAGTTCCATGTAGAGCACTTGCAGGGTTGGCCCCCAAAATATTACATTTATCATATTGCATAAAGGTATAAATATGCACGTTTTATTTTTTAAACAAAACTCTGCTGTAAAGACAATCCATTAATAATTTGAACTTTGTTTCCTGATTTCTCGAATTTCGTTTCAAAAGATTTTCACTTTTTGTTACATTATAAATGCATTCAAACTTCTGAAATGTTGAAACATTTTATATTTTCATGTTCATAAAATCATTTTCCTTAAACATGGAGTTTATTATAACAAATCTTGCTAAAACAAATGTCTAAGTAGGTGAAATACTACTGTTTTTGAGTTAAATTGTTTAAAATGGTTAGCAGAAATTTGTGAAATACTCAGTAAAGCAAAAGTTCTGACAGTGTTGCAGTCTTCTTCATGATCAAACCATTTCTCTAAACATGGGTAGCAGCTGAACAGTTCAGAATCATATGAAGATGTGCTAGATTTGATATGTTTGACATCTGTGGTGATTGCTTGAATCCTAATCAGAATGGTAAACTTCCTAGAATATCTTCTGGAATATTCTTAGGGAAATCCCATAACTGAGATTAAACTAACTGGCCACTGGATGTCATCATTGTACCATACAAAAATACAGTTGGAGGAACATTTATCTGGCAGTAAAAAAAAAAAAAAAAAAAAGTGGAAGGGCAAAAACATGCATTTAACATACATTTATCTCTGGATTTCAAAGATTATAAAATACCTTGTCTGGTACAAAAAGACTTCTCCAAACCTTTCACATTTGTAGTTCCTGGCATGGCCAGCCTCTTTAAAGTCACCTTGTTTGTTGACGCTTGATTTTTAACACATCAAGCAATTGTGTCAACTAATTTATATGAAGAGAAATATTCTCTAGTCTAAATACATAGAAATCTTTGTAAGAATAATTTATTTGGAAGAATAAATGTTGTTTTCCCCCTCTTGTCTCCTAAAGGTAATAGAGGAAAACCTGTTAGAAGTTTTAGATTGTATCCTGAATAAGTGTGTCTGCAGAAATGTAGAGCAAGAGAAGAGTGTCTCATGAATAATAAAAGTAGTTCTGTTTCCTATTTCTCCCTTCAACGCACATGTGAATTTACAATTATACATTCTATGGCATGTGAAGTTTGTGCAACCCAAAGCAATAACTAAAATGCAAAGTGTGTAATGCTTCAAAATGGAAAAAGCCTCTCTGCTTTCCATGAGAAAACTGAAAACTATATATAGCACACTGCAGAGATTTTCTGTCAAGTGCACTATTATCTCTTGACCCCTCTCTCACATATTTTCTGGCACCCTCTGTTGGTTAGCGAAACCAAAGGACACCAGTAAAGATGACTATACCAAGTTTTACTGTTTCAACCAGTGTATACTTTAGGAAGAAGTGAACATGAGAAACTATGAATTAATTATTTAAAGTCTGCTGACCAGATCTTCAGTTGGTGTAAATTGGCATAGCTCCATTGAAATCAATGAAGATGAGCTGATTTATACCAGCTGAGGATCTGGCCCTCAGTCTAACTTTTCTTTATTTGGAAAAATGATTTTAGAAGCCATTTCTCAGTGTGCTGCTTGAACACAGAAAAATCCAAAATATTAAAACTATGTTAAATTTATGCTTCAGGTAAAGATATTCCCATGAATTAAAAAAAGGTAAAATCTAAAACAATTGCTCCAGAAAGCATAAAAATAATCAAAAGATTATATGAACATATGCTCCTAGGTGCCAGGTGAATGTTAATAAATCATAGAAAACTCTCCAAGTTCAGTCTCTAGCCACCAACAAATACTTCATAACCTCTTCTCCAAGAGAAGTTGGAACATTAAGTTCTAGTACTTTTCTGTAGCATGTTAAACGTGTATACTTACTCAGAAATGTTTAGCCACTAGGTTGATTTGTGGTATGTCTGGGGCAATTCATAATGTTGGTCATGTTGATAAGCCATAACAATAGTTTTAGAAAAATGGAAGATAATGCATTACTAACATTCTAATGATTCTTAGCTGGTTTCTCCTGGGTTTGTACACATGTCTATACAGTATGTCTTGTTTTTGGTTTCTTTTACAGTTAAGCTATGCTTTGAACCACATAAATCGAAAGCTGATGCTAGAGCCTAAAGTGTCTGTCAATGCTAGAATTGTGGTGGTTGGTGCATCAAATGTTGGAATCTCCTTTCTAGAAACACTGATTTTTTGGTAAGTTTTTTAACTTTGCTGGCTTTCCTACAGTGAGGGGACTAAGCTACTTTTTTAATTTTAGAGGTCTTGATTCGGCAATGAAGCTTCAACTCAGCTTCTATTTCTTTTGGTGCAGTTCTGCACCCACAAATAATTGCACCTGCATTTGAATTATGGATGCAAAATTAGTAGTCAGATCTATGACTGTCTGATATGTGGAGGTAAAGAGGTAAATTTCTCCCTATTAATTGATTCAGCAGTTCAAAAGTACTAATGTAATTGTTTGCAAGTGCAAAACTGCCCACAAAAATGAAGGTCATCTCTGAAAATCAGGTCCTCACTAGCAATGGAGAGAACTAAAAATACAAATTTTAGAATGAAAGATCCTGTATATCAGCCACTGAAGGTCTCACAGGAGGACTGAACAACGAGAGTGCAAAACTACATTGTATTCTACCTGCAGAATCTTGGCAGTAATGTTGTAGGGTGTGTGTCTTGTACATTCCAAATGGATTTGAAGTTAGAAGCTTGGTGAGGTAAATTAAAAGCCTAGAGCCTATTCTAGAACATGTTTTGGGTCTGTCAACATTGGGCAGCCAGTCATATTAGAACACTCTTTAGCTTCAACTGAGTCTAAGTCCTCTTTGAACATTCGTTGTTTGACTTGGTTGCAAAGACAATATAGATGTGGCTTAATATTCTAGCCATTTCTATATAAACCAGTGTACTGTTGACCTTTGGAGCTAGCTCTGCACAATACCAGGGCTGGTTATGGGGGGGAGGGGGGCGGACGGGCGGGGTGTCATACTGCTGTGTCGCTTGGCCATTTTTTGGTTGTTTGTTTTTTCTTCACTGATTGGCTGGCCCTGTGGTTTTTGTTGGGTTTTGGGGTAGGGGGGTGGGGGCAGGCAGGGTGGGAGGGTTGTTGGCGTTTTTTGTATTTGGGTTGGTTTTTTTTATCAGCTAGTCCAGAAGAGTGGTACTGAACATTTTCCACCCTGGCTGGCAATACATTTAGCACCTTTCCTTCTCAGTACTATCTGTATAGTACCAGAAAGAGAGATGAACACTTCTCCTTTCATTTCACTTCATTATGGCATTATTTTCAGAGCTAAGTTGGAACATACATAATGGGCTCAAACCAGAGCCCCACTCAGCTTCCATAGAAGCCATCAGATCTTTCCTGCTGAGGATTATCCTGGCATTTGGGAGTCTTCAGGAAGCACAGAGATGCCATATCCAGCCCCTACACCATTTCCCTTGCAGCCCCTGAGATGGGGGTGGGGAGAGTGTGCTGCACTCCAGTAATCCCTGCCTCCCAGAGGTCCCACTAGGGGCATAGTCAGTCACTGTAGATCAGAAAGCTGCAAACCAAATTGCCATGGTTATTATAAGTTGTCCAAACAAAAGCAAATCAACTGTGCAGGCAGAGTCAGGGAACAAGTACTAATATTTTTAATAGCTAGTACTTTCTAACCTTGACTTAGACTGTTGAGATTTTAATGACCATTATCTTGTGACCTGCCAAGGCTAAATACAAATGCTGCTTCCGGTCTGGTTAATTTATAGTTCTCCACACTCATTTCTAATCCTTATGGCTCATGAAATCCTAATGGCTCAGAATTTAAAACCGTCACTGCTCCAGGACCAAATATTGCAAGGTTTGGACCAGAGACCAAGGTCATTTTTGGTCCTTGCACTCATCTGTTCTTAGCTGCCATAGATGGGGACAAATAAATGTTTTTTGTGATAGGATATTTTCCTAAACAAAATTTTGGCTGTGTTAAAATTACTTGACAGGATTAGTAGCAGTCCTCGTGTAATGATGACGTGGATGAGCAGAATTCAGGAGAGAAGATCAAAGATTCATAATAAACTATGTTTATTCGATGGATGGAGAAATAAACAAGTTTATTCCATGAATATCATGATCTCATACACATCAAAACAAGAATCCCGTTCTCCTACAGCACATACAATCTATTAAAGTAAAAGAGGTCTAATTTTATGTCTACCCTCCTTATTGTCATTGTTCTTGGAGCACTCTTCTTAAAGAAAATGTTTGTATAATTTTCATATCTTGTGATATGAATGTCTTTTCCATATGAGTGCATTTTCAAGCAGATTTAAAAATGCTTAAATTTGTGTTGAAAAACTTTTTAAAAACCAGTATAAAGTTTTAGATGCCAGATTCTGAGTAGAATCCACACAGCAAAGTATTTGTTACAGAAACAAAATAATGGAAAAAAATATTGCCAGTTTAATGACTCTGTGCCTGCTAAGAGCTGAGTTCAGGGCTGTTTCTACTACCACTGTTGTTGATATTACAATTAGAAATATCTGTATAGCATTGCGGGGGGGGGGGAAATAAAGCCCTTTATGAATGGTATTGCACTGTTATAAGCAATTGACAGAATAACTCCCTTTCCCACTCCCTCTTCCGGGCTGCCAATGCCTTTCTTTCTAACATTCGACCCAGTGTATCCCCCGTTGGTGTAAGGCCCTTCTCCTCTGGTGCTTCTGCCCACTGCACCTTAGGCTCTCTATCCCAATGCGTTTTTTAGCTGTTACTCTTTTTTCTGTTTCTCACCATGTGCTGTTACTTACTAAACTCTGTAACTGTGTTATGTATATGACTCTTGCAATGTTGTTACTAATTTATATTATAGTACCATCCAGCGAGCCTAGCTGTTTCCAGTGCCCCATTATGCTAGGCACTGCACACAAAAGGAAGACACAGTCCCTGACAAGCTTACAGTGTAAATAGACAAGACAGACAAAGGGTGGGAGAAAAGTAGTAGTATCCCCATTTTACAAATGAAGAACTGAGGTACAGTGAGATTAAGTGACTTGCCCAAGGTCACACAAGAGGCCTGTGACAAAGCTGGGAGTTGAACCCAAATCTTATGAGTTCCAGTCCAACACCTTAACCACTAGAGTATCCTTCCCATTTGTACAGCATTTTTCATACAAAAATCAATTGTATCCTTGACAATTTACTTTTACAGCTCTGAGAGAGTTCCACAGACAAGACTTTTCAGCAGTAAGCCTTATTCCAGCTGTGTTCTAATTAAGAGTTCTCACAAGATCTGTTTGTGTGATATTTAGGAGTACTGGTCTTGAAGACAATATAATTGGAACTTTCAGATTCATGAAACTTGAGTGCTGCCACATAAGAACCATTAAGAACTCAAAGAATCAAAGGAGCTAGTATTCAGCATCAGATTTTTACATATTTTTATATTAATGTAGTATAAGTTTAACAAGCTAAGTTTTAATTTTCATATCAGCAGTTGATAAAGAAAGTCTCCTGGTCAATGCAGAGACCTTTTAATACAATTTAATTTAATATATTCACAATTTTCTACCATTGTTTGCAAAGGTTACATGTACTAAAAATAACTAGATTGAATCAATTTATAAACCCCCTAATCCTTAAAAGAGGAAGTAGTTTTCTCCTCATTTTTCTTCCTACTTAATTATTTTACATTAGTAGTCACCATAGAAACACACAAATATAATTCACTTACCTGCATACAGTCATTACAACTAGATTTTAGAAGTGATTTCAACCTGTTTGAGACTGAGGAAATATATTTTTCATTAAATACTGAATTATATCTACTTGTTTCAAAGATGTAGAAAACTGCTTCTTGGTGCTATATTGCATTGTAGTATAAAATGTGGCAGTAACACTGTAGTTTGTGGAAAATCCATTTGAGGCAGAGTGCTCCAGTTATTTTTCTAGGACATTCAGTGCTTTCACTGTTTGAATAGGGCAGATTCTAGCATCAGTTCTTATCATCCAAATGTAAAAATGTGCTTTGAGGTCCATCCTCCAAAATGCTGAAGTATATTTTGTATTATATTATTTTATTAGAAAATGCTTCTTAAGTCCCCCATTTTCACTCACAGAGTGAATATCAGGAGGTTGTAGGAACACCCGTAATTGCCATACTGAATCAGACCAATGGCTAATTCTGTGTTCTGTCTGACAGGGGGCAGTACCAGCTGCTTCAGAGAATCCTATAGTGGACTATTATACCCTCCAGGGAAGCTTCTTTCTAACACCCCTTCCTTCAGCAAGTGGTTGGTTCATGCCCTGAAATATGAGGGTTTATAGCCCTAATGTTTTACCCCAGTGAATGTGAGTGCAGTGGTTCTTATTTTCCATGTGCCATTATCCAAATAAATGACTCCCGCTCCCTTTTCCTGAGTTCAGGCTCCTGCTTTAGATGTTAGTTTTAGCTCAAAAGTAATTTTAGTTTAGTCCACACAAGAGTGAGAATTTTTTCTTCGAGAATTGACCAAAAAGGGCACAACTGTCAATCATTCCTAGGCAGTTACACAGGAGAGTGAAGACCCACCTTCATCAGCTGCATGGCCTTCCCCGATTGTGAGTCCAGATACAGGTGTGAAAGCAGGCTTCAGGCAGCCACTACACCCCAGCCCTAATCAAATGTGTGGGAAGGGGCAAAAGAGAGGAAGCAAGCAGAGCCTTGGTTCTGCCCCGTAAGTTCATCAGCCAGCAGAGCTGAACTAGTAGGGGGGGAATGAGTAGCACCATAAATTGCTACAGTAATTAGCTTCCCTGCAGGAGCAAGGGCAAGCAGGGAAGGAATTGTGACTCCCACAATTCATACCCAGGGCTCCTCCTGGCCAATGCAATTATATGCTTCTCCTCACACAAAGACAGGAGTTAGGGCACTGTCTAGGATTCAGACAAGGTAGTGCAACATCACACCTTTTGTTAAACCAGCACAATGTTTGCATGTACACCAGCCCTAAAGCAGAGGCAGCAGCCTAACAATGCTCTTTTTGTGGAGAAGCAGTTCAACCCAGCAACATGTCAGTCCCTGTTGTTGTCCCCACTCCAAACTGTCGCATTGGTGCTCTTGCCTACCGTTTGTTGTAGAATGTCAGAAGAAAAGACGATTTTGGATTGACTCAAACTAAAGAAGTACCAGAGACAGATTTTTAAAAGATGGACTTTTTTTTTTTTGCATTGAAATACTTAG